TTTCTTATAGTTTTCTATATTTTTTGTCTTTAAAAATTAAAAAAAAATAAAAACGCGGTAAAAAAATTATGAAATTTTGCAGACACAATCCTTACATTTTTCTGGGCTAGCCTGCAAAAAATAGCGTCAAAAAATGAAAAAAAAAAAAGCTATCAAAAAGCCCCCGGCCCGTGTAGTGGGGCACCCAGTGGTTGGGATGGGTAAAAAATTTATATTTTTATTTATGTTTTGCATTCCCAAATTAATATACAATTTTTAGGAATGAATGCTACAAGTGACACCATTTTTTTGACGAATAATATATTTTTTTGTGATTTTCTTTATTTTTCGTATTTAAAAAATAAAATAAAATAAAATATTCCTCAAAAAATTGTAAAATTTTGCAGACACGATCATTACATTTTTCTGGGCATGTCTGCAAAAAATAGCTTTAAAAAACTGATAAAAAAAGTAAAATATTGTCGAAAAGCCTCGATCCCCATAGTGGGTCGCCCAGTGGCTGGAATGGGTAAAACATTTACATTTTTATTAATGTTCCGCATTGTAGAATTAATACACGATTTTTAAGAATTAATGCCATAAGCGGCACCATTTTATGATGAATATTCTATTTTTTATGATTTTCTTTATTTTTCATTTTTAAAAAATGAAATAAGATAAAATTGACTTCAAACAATTATGAAATTTTGCAGACATGATCCTGACATTTTTCTGGGCATGCTTGCAAAAAAAAAGGCCTCAAAAAGTGACAAAAAAATAAAACGCTGCCAAAAAGCCCCCGACCCGAGTAGTGGGACGCCCAGGGGCCGATATGGGTAAAAAATTTACATTTTTATTTATGTTTTGCATTGTAAAATTAATATACGATTTTTAGGAATTAATACAATAAGCGGCACCATTTTTTGGTGAATATTCTATTTTTTTTATGATTTTCTTTATTTTTCATCTTTGAAAAATAAAATAAAATAAAATTTTCGTCAAAAAAGTATGAAATTTTACAGACACGATCCTTACATTTTTTTGGGCATGTCTGCAAAAAAAGGCCTCAAAAAATAAGAAAAAAAATGTAAGGCATTGTCAAAAAGTGGTACACCCCTGGGACTCCCTCGGGACACCCCCGGGGCACCCCCGGGACACCCCCGGGGCACCTCTAGGGCACCCCCGGGAGACTCCCAGGGGACCCCTGGGAAAGCCCCGGGAGATACCCGGGAGACCCCCGGGACACCCCTTTGGCACCCCCGGGGCACCCCTGGGACACCCCTGGGGAACCCAGGGAGAGCCCTGGTAGACCTTCGGGAGACCCCCGAAAGACCCCCGGGAGACCCCCGGAAGACCCCCGGGACATCCCCGGGACACCTCCGGGAGACCCCCGGGAGACCGCTAGGGAACCCCCGGGACACTCCCGGGGTACCCCTAGGACAACCCCGCGGCATCGCCAAGCCCCCCCGGGGCATCGCCGTGGCACCCTAGGGGCACCCTCGGGGCACCCCCGGGGCACACGCGGACCACCCCGGTGCACCCTCGAGCCACCCCCGGGGCATCCCCGGGACACCCCTGGCCCGCGTAGTGGGGCGTCCGGGGGCCGGGATGGGTCAAAAGTTCACAATTTTACTTATCTTTTATAGTCTAAAATTAATATACGATTTTTAGGAATGAAAAGGGAATTATCATAGTGTCATTTTTTTTGTTGTCTTTGTAGTGTCATTGCTCGAGGATGAGCAGTACTTTAAGTTTGGGGATGCTGATAACTTTAGGAATTAAAGTTATTTTAGACATTTCTAGGCGTATAATTGGCTCATCCAAAGTTTAGTTGTTAATTTTTTGCTTTATTTGCTCAACTTTTGGGTTCATTTGGTGCATTCTACTAAGATTCATTTGTGTGTGGTTTCTGTGTTAATTTTGAAGAAAATTGCTAACATGTGTCCAAAACAGTGTCGTTTCTGATTTGCAAATTTTGTGATGATAAATGCTGCAGCAAAAATGTGACAGCATGCACTGGAATTAGGACACAAAACACATAAGACGAAATTGGTGCCTAGTCAGCTGGACCCAACATGCCACCTCAACGTCCTGGGTTACCCTAAAAAGGGATGCATCTGAAAACTCAAAGAGAAGAGAGGCGCCGCAGGAAGCAATTAAGGAAGTAAGAGGAGAGACCCGTAGAGAGGAAAAAATGCAGCAGAGAGTAAAAGAAAACAAGACCAGAGAAAGAGAGGGAGGCAAACAAGTACGTAGGACACACATTTTTTGTTGGAAATCTCAGGGAGTGAAGCCACGGGAGGAATCCACCAAGCTTCACCTAATCTTTACTGTTGTCCTCCTCATTTTGGTTTATCTTTCCTCTTCCTCTGTATTCAATTCATGGCTATGTATTTTGTTAAAATTAACAGAGCCAGTATGAGCTAAACTTATTTGACTGGGATGATAAAGTACTCGAAACTGTAATCAACGATTGTTTATGCTCACTTTGTCTATTTTGATGTTGTTCTAGTTTGTTCAATATAAATGTTATTGTTCATTTCTGTTTACTGACTGGCCATCTTAAATAGAATATTGTGAGTTCAATTTGCTAGAAAGTTGATTGGATTTAGACCAATGTTGAACAATGTGTTGTTTAGCTAAGTTTCACAGAGAAATCTAGTTGATTTACGAGTAGTATAGGAATATACACTTGCCTCACATAGCCCAATTGAAACCCACGCTTAACTTAACCTCTATGTTTAGATTTCTCATAGGAATATGTTGAAATATGAGTAAAGAGGCGAAATCACAACCAGATTGGAAGATTCTTATGCTAAATTTGTGTTTCAGGTTAATTGACAGCATTGCTGTAGCAAAAGTCATAGCATAAATAGCCAGATTGCAGGGAAGGAGAAATTGAGTCCCAGTTTTGACATAGATTGATTTTCTCCTTTGATAACTTAGTGTGCATTTATTTACTCGTGTTTATTGCAATTCTTGTAGTCTTCGCAATTGAATCAAACCATTAAATTTGTTTATGTTGCATTTATTGGATCTTATTAAGAAAAATATATTGATAACTTTCTCCGTGGGAACGATACTCTACTCACACTTTATTACTTGAGGTGACTCATGCACTTGCGAGCACATAAATCACGCAACAAGTTTTTGGTGCCGTTGCCAGGGACAGTTATCATAGTTGATCTTTGTAAGATTCAAGTGTTTTCGTTATTTTACTTGACAATTTTGTGTCCGTCTATTTCAGATATTCTTCTTCTCGCATGAATCGACAACAAGACCGTGATTTGCTACCCTTGGATCCAGAAATTGAAAGAACATTCCTAGCAAGGAGAAGGGAGCAGCAAGGTCTAGCAGTTGTTGAAGGAATGGCAGAGGAAGCTACTGGCAATGCAGCCAACCTGGGGTAGCCCGTACATGTTAACAATCCAGTTAACCAGGCGGCCATGGTAGATGACATGGATAGGGCCATCAGAGAATATGCCATACCGATTTTACATGGGCTCAATCTTGGCATCATTAGGCCAGAGATACAGGCACCTCAGTTTGAGCTTAAACTGGTCATGTTCAATATGTTGCAAACAGTAGGCCAATTTAGTGGCATTGTAACTGAAGATCCCCACTTGCATCTCAGGCTATTCATGGAAGTCTGTGATACTTTTAAGCTTCCAGGGGTTATAGACGAAGGTTTGAGACTGAAGCTCTTCCCTTATTTCTTGAGGGATAGAGCTAGGGTATGGTTAAACTCTCTACCCTCGGACTCTGTGGCGACGTGGAATGACTTGGCAGAGAAATTCCTGATGAAGTATTTCCTTCCAACTAAGAATGCCAAGCTTAGAAATGACATCACCGGATTTTAACAACATGAGGGGGAATCTTTGTATGAGGCACGGGAGAGGTTTAAGGAATTGTTGCGCAAATAACCTCACCATAGGATTCCTCATTGGATTCAGATGGAGACGTTCTACAATGGACTTAAAGGGCAAACTCGAACCATAGTAGATGCTTCAGCCAATGGTGATATTTTGGCAAAGACTTACGATGAGGCCTATGAGATTTTAGAACGAATAGCTAATAACAACTATCAATGGCCTGCAGAGAGAGCAGCTGCAGCTAAGAGAGTAGCCGGAGTTCAGGAAGTGGATGCGGTGACAGCTTTAACCGCTCACGTGTCATCCTTAGCAAGTATCTTGAAATCAATGAACCAGGGGGTGAATTCTCCTCAGTTTACAATAGTCTCTTGTACTTAATATGGTGAAGAGCATCTCTTTGATAGTTGTCCATCCAATCCAGAATCAGCATATTATGTGGGTAATTTCAACAAAAACAACAATCCGTATTCCAACACTTATAACCTAGGTTGGAGGCAGCACCCAAATTTTTCTTGGAACTCTCAAGGGCAGAAGACATCATCTACTTCAACAGCAAAATGCCCTCAACATCCTCCTGGATTTCCACAACAGTCAAGACATCAACCGGCAGAACAATACTCATCGATTGAGCACTTGTTAAAGGAGTATATGGCAAAGAATGATGCCATTATTCAAAATCAGTCAGCACTGATTCAGAACCAAGCAGCTTCATTGAGAAACTTGGATAATCAAGTGGGGCAGTTAGCTAATGCCTTGACAAGTCGCCCTACAGGCGCACTCCTAAGTAATACCGAAGATCCTAGGCGTGAAGGCAAAGAGCATTGCAAGGCTATTACGCTGAGGAATGGGAGAGAAGTAGAGCGAGTGACTAGACAGCCCAAGTGTCGAGAAGAGCCCTCTTCAATCCAAGGTGAAGTGGAAAAGGAAGCAGAAGTGGAAGAATCTGGAAAACGAAGCGATGCTGCAGAATCTACAGCAAAACATACAGCAACGCTGCAGTAAAGTTTGGCAGAAAAGCAGAATGATAGACCACCGCCACCTTTTCCTCGAAAATTTCAAAAGAAGCAGTAAGATAAGCAGTTTAAAAAGTTTCTACATGTCTTGAAGCAACTCCATATAAACATTCCATTGGTGGAGGCGTTTGAGCAAATGCCTAGTTATGTAAAATTCATGAAGGATATTCTTTTGAAGAGAAGAAGACTTGGAGAATTCGAAACAGTGGCAATGATGGAAGAAAGCAGCGCCATCTTGCAGAATAAAATCCCTCCAAAGTTAAAAGATCCTGGCAGTTTCACCATCCCATGTGCTATTGGCAATAACTACTTTGGCAAGGCTCTCTGTGATTTAGGAGCAAGCATAAATCTTATGCCTATGTCAATTTTCAAGAAGCTTGGAATCGGGGAAACATGGCTAACCATAGTAACTCTTCAATTGGCTGATCGATCTCTAGCTCATCCAGAAGGAAAAATTGAAAATGTCCTGGTGAAAGTAGACAAGTTCATCTTCCCTGCTGATTTTATTATTTTGGATTATGAAGCTGACAGGGAAGTGTCCATCATTTTAGGAAGACCATTCCTAGCAACGGGGAGGACATTAATAGATGTGCAAAAAGGGGAGTTGACAATGAGAGTTAATGATGAGCAAGTTACCTTTAATGTTCTCAAGGCAATGAGATCCCCTGATGAAGTGGAAGATTGCTCTGTTGTGAATGTGATTGATACTTTTGTTTTTAAGGAGTTAGAGCAAGCTTGCTACAAAGACCTTCTAAAAATCACAACATTAGCAGAATTGGAAGAAGAAAATGCAGAAGTGAGTAGTGAGTTGCCTTGTTTGGAAGCAAGATCAACCGGTATAGCTAGAGGAAGGCAGTTTGAATCTTTGGGGCTATCCGAACGTGAGCTCAAACCACCTAGACCATCTATAGAAGAACCCCCATTCCTGGAGCTAAAACGTTTGCCATCCCACCTTCGATATGCATTCTTGGGAGAAATAAAAACACTACCAGTTATTGTATCAGCTGAACTAACTGAAGACCAGGAGCAGAAGTTACTTGAAGTGTTGAGGAATTTCAAAAAAGTAATAGGATGGACAAGTGTAGATATCAAAGGAATCAGCCCATCCATATAGATGCATAAGATTTTGCTAGAGCAATGCTACAACAATTTTGTGGAACAACAAAGAAGGCTAAATCCAATCATGAAGGAATTTGTAAAGAAAGAAGTCATTAAATGGTTGGATGTAGGGATCATTTGGTTATCATCTCTGATTTCAGGGCTATGTGAAATGCACGAAGTAGTATTCGAGGGTGGAGATAAAAGGCTGAAGATAGCTCAAAGGATTATTCCAGCTACAGTGGCTAGGATTTCACAAGAAAGCAATGTTAAGAGAGCCAGGTTTGACCACTTTAATAAAGACCCGACAGAGACACCAAGTCAACCTTCCTCAAACAATCCCACACCTCCCTCGAGCGCTAAGAACTCGATGTCCAGTAACTTATCTAGTTTAGAAAGCATGATTTCTCTTGTTGAGCTAACTCAACATGACATTCTTGAGGAGCTTTGGCTGGCCCGAAAAAGTCAACAGGACGTGTGAAAGTATATAGAGGCCCGAGATGCTGCAATGCAAAGACCCTTCAGGGTAAATACCAAAAGGCTCCACACATTCCCCGAATTTCCCAATATGTTCTCGATCCATCTGCTGGTCAGCCCGCCGATGACACCGATATTATAACGGGAGCAGATTATTAGGGCCAGATCACAACTTCTGGCCCTTCAGGGATGCCCCTCCACCCTCATTTTTCTAGTGTTATTTAGTTCATTAGTCGAACCAATTTTTGTTTTTCTTTTGTGCCTTATTTCTTTTTCAACAGTGAGGACACAGTTGATTTCATGTTTGGGGTTTGTGTATTTCCTGTTTGTGAGGAGACTGGTTTGTTTGATTTAGATTGGTTATTTTCTAGTTTTTGTGTTTTGTGTTGTTTTGTGTGTACCCCGGGGCTATCCTGGGGCTGTCCCGGGGCTGTCCCGGGGCTGTGCCGGGGGAGCCGCGGGGCTGTCACGGGGGTTCCCCAGGGGTGTCCCGGGGGTGTCCCGAGGATGCCTTGGGGCTGCCCCGGAGCTGTCCCGGGGGTGCCTCGGGGCTGTACCGGGGCAGTCCCGGGGGTGACCCGGGGCTGTCCCGGCGCTGTCCCGAGGCTATCCCGGGGCTGCCCAGGGGGTGTCCT